AACACCAATTCTACTCTATCTTGACAATCATTATGGTGATAAAAAAAACATTATTTCATACAAATATGATTGCTAAAAACGATGTTATTATCCTATATTGTTTAAAATTAGATAGTGAATTAGGTTTATGTGCTCGACGTTTGGCTTATTTGCATGTCATTAGTGAAAAACCAGCTATATTGTCTGTTTTGATCGATGGAAACTATAATAAAACAACACGAGATGATTGGTCTTCTTATTTTTTTGGTTTAATAGGTTCGAGTATTGTAATTGCTCGTTTTGGAATTCATCAAATACGAGAAGAACATATTTTTGATAAGACAATATGTATTTTAGAAGAAATTCAACAAAATATTCATGGAAAACAATATTTATTTAATGATCAATTTACAGCTGCTGATTTAACATTAACTGCATTGATTCAACCTTTGAGAATGATACCAGCTTTATTTATAAAATATAAAAGTGTATTAGAATATTGTGATCACATTCGTGAACGACATGATCCAAAAGAATTCGAAGATTCTTATGTAGAACGTTTACTTAAACATCACCGTCAAAAAAGACGATCATCACAATATCAATCAATATTTCGAAATATAATTTGGTATATTTTTTATATTGTATTTTATCCATTCAAATTCTTATTTATTACCACTGGTACGCAAACAAATCACTTATATCAATATCCATCAACGAATCTAACTGAAAAGGCACATAATGATAATCGAATATTGAAATTTCAGTCATTAGTCAATAAGGCAATCTTTTTTAGCACATATTTATGGCATTTCTGTTTTACTATACCGAAACAAATGGAATTTGTCAATGAAGAAGGAAGTCGAATTTTGCATAGACACTCGTAAACGAATATTGATTAAAATATCTTGCATTATTAATAAAGAGTGTTTATATGATAAAACACATTGGATGGACGATAACATGAATAAATGTCGAAAACCATCTTGAGGATGAATTTTAAAGTATTTTGTGTTTATCATTCAGGACTCTAATTAGAAGTCGTTTTATTGAATTGATATTAATACAAATAAATCAATATATATTAGAAATGGTTTTATTGATGTTAAAAGATAGTTAGATCTTAGTCTTAGAAAAGAAAATTTTGATAATTCGCTCTATGCTATAAGAATAAGAAATACTCACGAAAGCAATTATCACATATTCTTTTATTTTGTACTAAATGTTATAATAACTATACGATAAACAATAACAAATAGTACTGAATTTAAAAAAAGCAATAAAAAATAATGTCAATAAGGTATTTTTCTTATCTATAACGTCGAATCTTTTTTAAAATTCGATGTGTTTAATTTATTTTCTAAGTACGAAATTGGTTTGCTGATTAGTTGTCAATGAGAAAATAAAACATATGGATTTGTTTTTCTGTTATTTCGTATGTATACAGATTGATTTTATCTCGTAAGTGTGTAGGTGTTTTGAAAAAAAATTGGGGGTATAAAAAGCACTCTATTTTTCATTGTAAAGTCACCCACCATTCTCATCTCTTCATTCACATTTAGCAAATTTACTAAATACATTTAACAATGAACGCTGCTATTGCACTCATCTTCTTCGCCTGTGTTGCTGGTTCCATGGCTTCTGATGTCCGTGTTGATATCATGAACTTACTTGTTTCACAAGGACAAGGTATTCTTCAATCAACCATGACTATGCTTCAAACCCAACTCATGAATATTGCTACACAAGCTCTTGGTCAACTCACAGGTCTTATTGCTTCAATCGGCGGTCGATTAGACTTCAATATCAATGCCATCCTTGATCAATTCAAACCACTCCTTGCTCAAGCCGCCAGCGGTCTTCTTGGTCAACTTATGGGTCAACTTACAGGACTCCTTGGTGGTATGTATTAATTCTTATCTATTTCTATTTCAATACATTCACTACAATCTTATCATACACTCTAGGTCGTATCTTCGGTGATCTTCAAGCTATGTTCACTGATTTTCTTAGTCAAATCTCAACACCACTCCTTGCCATTGGTCAAAACCTCTTAAACCAAGGTTTATCAGCTGTTGTCGGTTCATTAGCTGGATCACGTTTTCTTGGTGACTTCATGAGTCGTAAGTAGATGTATAGTAATATTTAATGAATGAAAATGAAAGAGATTTTGATTTTATTATTTAGAAATTTCAAGTCAAATGGCTGCTGCTGTCGCAACTGCTCAAGGTGTTATCTCACAAACTGTTTCAAGTCTTAGTGGTGTTCTTTCAAACATTGTTGATGCTTCAAAACCACATTTAGCTGATCTTCAAAACCAATTGATGGGTCATGGTCTTAATGTTCTTGGTTCACTCTCTGAAACCGTCAACAACCTTCATGGTTCACTCGTTGGTGGACAATAAGTGGTGAATTGAAAGCGATGTTCTTTTTCCTTTTAATCTAATTTAACTATTATAATTATAATTTATTGCCCATGAATGGTGGGTTTCGAATGCATGTCAATAAAAAATCATTGATCATTGTTGACATTGAAAAATAATAGTTCTTTATTTTATCTATCTAATCATATGCCTAGTATATATGTTAATGTAGCATGTCATATATGATTATTTGTACTTTTCGATTAAAATCTTTAGTCTCTCTTGCTAATCGATGTTCAGAGATAAACTCAATTTTAATCACAAAAATCTAAATTGACTTGATTTATTATCTATATTTTGCAAACAAATGAAACAATCATACAATTCTATATAAAGTCTTTATAAAATATCTGAAGATTTTATTGCTCTTTTTGAACATAAATCAGGGTGTGGGTCAGGGGCGGATCTAGCGAACCGGCGACCGCTACCCCTCGAAAATAGATACTTTAACAAATAGTGAAAATAGGTAAGGCAATATAGGTTTCTCTTTTAAAGAACAAATACTACTTTCCACTTTTTTAATACACCGCCACTCCTCATGGAAATCCTTTTCGCGTAATTTAATAATTAATGAAAAACTTGGTTTGTTATTTATTTATATAGTATGCGAGTTTTCGAGTTTTATATTAGACATAAATATAAAATAGATAATTCATTCAAATAAATTAAAAAGACAAATTGAGATAAGTACGTGTTCACAACTATACCCAATTCTACACCCTTAAGATATTCGATCAAATTTTATGTAATTATTGTTGATGACAACGCAGATGTCTTTTATTATATGTAAAATACTGACAAAAAAAAACATTCATTTTCTACAACATTCTATTGCAGAAACACATGTGATAACTCAACGTTAAGATAAAGCAATTCGTTAATTATCACAACTCTTTTCTTTTTATAACATTGAATGAGTATTCTGAAGGTAATTTAATTTTAAAAAGCCATTACATATATACAAAAAAATAAACAATTTCTTTTTTCTTCTCTTCATTTGATGGTGACGATTTCAATTCCATAAATGGCTGAAAAAACTAAGGTAATATTTTCTTCTTGTTGCTATTCTACTCGCTTTGTGTATGTATATTAGTCATGACTGTAATTATTTTTTCATACAAACCTGACTAACAATCTACAGCACTTTTTTTTTGGTAGTGATTAAATATTAACCGAGAGAGTTGGAGAAAATGAAAGGAAAGAGAAACAGTAATGTTAGTTACTAAAACATTAGTAAAAAAATTTTACAACGTCAAGTCATAAAAGATGTTTTGGATATTTTTTGTTTTACTGATATTTTCTACTGGTGATTGTATTCTTATCGGTAAAATCGATAATAATATATTGATTGGTAATATATATAAATCATTATGGAATATAACGCAAAATCAATGTATATGTGAAATGATAAATTCAAACGGAATCATATCGACATTAAATTATTTTTCAACAAATCAAACTTGTCAATTATTTTATACAAATTTTACTTTGATTTTAATTGAATTTAATCTCAATTCTTCTTTGATATTTATGAATCAATCAGCAATATTCATAGCACAGAGTAAATATATTAATATAAATACTACAAAAATATCATAGTTTTGCTAACTAACGAGCTAAATATATATGGAGAAATTTCGTTAGATTTTTTTTCGGTGAAAATCCCACTTTTTCTAGTTCAGTACGTTATATCTTAGAGAAGAATGTTAATATTATATAGATTCGCATATTTAAATGTATCATGTCAACTTCGTCTTCAGATTAATACTGACATTCACGAGTCTAAACGAGTTTTTAACCGGTTAGACGATTTATTTGAGATTGTATGTTCAAAAATGTAAGATGGTCGAATATGCCACGGCCATCGAAACACAAAAATGCATTTTTTATTCTTGAAAAGCTTTGATGTTCAGTAGCTGTTTTCAAGGATGTTCTCATGTGATTACTCGGTGGCAAGTTTTTATCATCATTTTCTACACTCACAGCTACATAGGACTTCAAATGAACCATTACTAGAGTTGCATTTCGTGTAGGCTCAACGGTTTGAACAATTCTAGTATAGTTATAGCTATAAATAAGCATTCTAGAAGCCGTAAGGTTTGTAAATTTATCGGAACTTATGTAAAGTTTATGATAATGCATCCATAATCAACTGCACTACTAGTAGAACGAAGCATGCAAAGTTTTGGGCGAAGCCTTACCCAATTAGTTTGTCCCATTTTTAATCTCATTTTTCCCATATAGATCAGATCGCGTCAACAACAACACCATCATTATCGCCATCAACGACAACATCAACAGCAACCACAACATCAACGTCAACAACAACAGCAACCACAACATTAACATCAACAACAACAACGTCAACAACAACTTCAACAACAACAGCAA